TTTGGATTTGCAACTTTATTAAGGTTACTGGGTGTGACTTTGTATCTTCAGCACCAGTCATATCCCACCAGTTAATAAAATCAAACTACACAACTTACGAGTTACCACCCACACCCATTGGAATGAATTTAACCCTAGTAAAACAAATAATGAAACATCAGGATCTAATCAAAATTGTAAAAGAGATTCAAAAGAATGGGCACAGAACTCTAGTAACTGTCCATCACAATGTAACAGAAATAAACAGAGTCCTGCAAAGATTAAAACAAGATACAAGTCATAACTGATGGGATGCACTATTTTGATGGTCACCAATGGCAACTGGGATCATGAATACTTTATGTCACCCCATTATACATTTATTAATTTTAGTTACTATAAGCTTAATGATGTCTATTTTAACACTCATGTGGAATTGGAGAATGTTGAGACATGTGTCCATTTTGACTTCACTCTCTAGAACTCATGGAATCTTGCTGAAGGAGAATTGTCATGATAGCAGGTCAGAATTTAGATCAGGGCCCCTGTAGTAAAAGAGTTTACTGTACTTTAAGAAAAGAGGGGGACTGAAATGGAGGTTTTGGGGGTTCACTTAAGTTAGCAATATGAATGAAGCATTTAAATTTTAGCTTGTAGAATGATGTGTTAAATTTTAACCTTTTACTTAAGAAACCTCTGCCATGATACAAAGAGCATAGGAAAATTTCTGAAGCTTCTTGCGATGAAGAACAATACTGGGAGAAGACCAAGGAATGCAAGAAACCTAGATAAAGGAGCTCCTCTGTCTCCAAGCTGTTCAAAATCAACAGATGTACTCAGATAAGCACCAAGGGACCACAGTGCACGAGCAAAGAAGTTCAAAAGTTCAATCGTGAGGAAGACCACGGCCTTCAGCCTCAGAAACCACTGAAAGACCCCTGTGCAACCACCACTGTGAAGAAGGGCATGGATCCAATTACCATACCAGGCAAGGACAGGCAGGGCCAGGAGGTGAATATGCATGAAAAGGTTGTGCAATGTAATGTATATGGAGCACCTTTGTGAATAAAGATGTGGCCCAGATCGGAGCTCAGGGCAAAAGTTTTCACAAGAGCTATCTCACTTGTGCTGGGCACTGACAATACATACCCACTTCATAACTACATCAGGTTGTGGAGCTGATTTATTCCACATATCGCTTCATAACCTGTTCGTTTTTTAGAGAAATGTATCCGGTTTAGAGTGCTAGCAGGAAATCCATGATCCAGAACGCATCCCTGAATAATCTCCTGACCATTAAGGAACACAGAGCTGCTCTGCCAGGGTAAGGTGAACTCCATGGCCTCCTTCTTGATTTCTGCAGGGCCAGTGAACCCAGCTTCCTCTGGGTAACACTCAGCAGCCCCCTTATTACCAGCAAGATTGTCTGACTTTTGCTGGGTTTTGGCACAGAAGGAACACCTGACTGAATGAGCTGCTTTGTTACCATACATGGCTACTGCTCTGATCTCCCCAAAAAATGCTGTCTTTGCTAAATCAGAGCAGCTACTATTCAGGTTTATTAATAAGCACCTCCACCACTTTCTTACAATTTATTTTGTTCCAAACTATGAGGATGCTGTGGAGGCGGCAGAATGGATTCCATCTCTTCCATGTAAGTTCAGCAGCAATGGGATCCAGCAAAGTGACTTCACTGAAGCAAAACCATTTGGTAGATATTTGCACTTTTCACTAATTCAACAGGCAAACAGTATGTGCCAGAGAACCCAATCTTATTTCTGTGGTTATTACCAACTTGACCAGGGAGAGCAACACATATCACAGTCACAACTCCTCCTCAAAGATTCAACAGCAATCTTACTTTAAAAAACAGGAAAAGAGTAATAGCTTAAGACTTTGAAATGCTGTAAAAAAAATATGGGTGGTTTGGGAGTTTCTTTCCTACAAAATGCACTTAAAACAAATGCAAAATTACATTATACCTTGCAGAATGAGGAATCAAAGAAACAACAGTAATTTTGTAGTCTTTTTTCTACCTGAATCATGTAGGAAAAATGTTTACAACATCATCACCAGTTTTTCTGTTAGAATCTGTAATACATCTTTTGCTGGTTTACCAGCTGTAAAATAACAGAGAACTCTGCTGCTACTTTTTTTCAGCCCTAGTGCTGAAAAGGTATATCCTCCACCCCAGGGAGATGCCAGAATCTTGCCAGTATCCAAAAAGAGTGGAAACATTTTGGTACATAGATAACATTTTAGAGCTCAGGTAATATTGCCTACAAGAGTTTTGTATGGTTTTAGAAAGACTAAGTGTGTCTTTTAGCTGCTTTGTGTTTTGGCATGCACTGAGTGGAGCTTGGTGTGACTCACAGTTGCTAAAAAGGCAGATGAGTCCTGCCCTCTGATTCCAGAGATGCAGGGAAGCTCAGGCAGAAAAGGGCCTTTAGTCTTTCCTCCCTGCACACTTTCCACAAGCCAGGTGGGCAGTGGGGAGATAGGATTGGTGAAAACACTGTTACTGCAGCCTCGGGACCTTGCAGCAGCTGTGTGAAACCACTGCCTGGGAAATTTTGTTTTACTCTGACAAGCACAGCATTTGGAGCACCCTCAGCAGGAGCACAACGAAAAAACATCCTCCCTGCAGTCCAGAGATCCAAACACTTTCCCTGTAATTCCCCTATCATTTGATTCTGTAGAATTTGTAATCCAGCATGTTATGGTTTGACATTGGCGCAATGCTAGTGCTCCTCTGAAAATATAATTGTTTTAGTGGCTGCTCTGAGATGTGACTAGAAATAGAGCAAAGCAGGTTTTAGCTTAGGAATAAAGGAAAAAAAACTTTATTAACTTACAATATGTAAAAAGGAACACACACAGAATTCAGAATGAAAACTTTTTAAAGCATTTTTTTTTTCTAATTTCTACATAGCACAATGAGATAAAACTTCAGATTCTCAATCTAGTTACCACTTTTCAGATAATCAACTCTCAGTTCATTATGGAGAGAGGAGTTTTTTTGTACTAAAGATTTCTCCAGGAAACACAGCTGAAACTTCTTGTGCTTTCATGTCATACATGGCACTACTTGGAGAACATTTGCCTTTGTGATTTCTTTTTTCTATGTTTAGTGCTCTCACTACTCTGCATGGACTAGAGCTGCTTCTAGGGTTTTTCTTTCAAGGGTGTTTTGTCTAGTTGTAAAAAAGCAACAGTTTCTCACTTTTGGGACACCAGTTCCCTTCACATTTACTCCTTGGGGCTGAGGGGTCTCGAGAACAGAGATCTTCTTCTTCACTGAAGACAGACGGCACTACTACACCCTCCTCATCAGCTTCTGTTCATGCTACTCTTTCACATAACATTACTGCACTCTCTTGGCTCCAAGCCATTGCTTCCTCTTAAATGCAGTTTCTGTGTTACAGGAAAAATGGTTTTGTCTATGGCTATACAAGAAAAGAATCTAGCTAAAGGTCACTCTATCATCTCCTCCCACCTAGGATTCTTCTCAACTTCTTCTGACATCTTTCACTTGCTCAGACCTTCACCACACCATTTTTTTCTATTGTATGTCTGTCTCTCTTCTAGGAGGGTTTAATGTACTGCAAAGTTTTTATTCTCCAAGAAAAGGGTTAAAATCCTGGGCTCTGCCTACCCAGAACTCCCATAGCAGCCGGGCACCTTCTCACTGCACCCTCCCTCCCCTCCCCTTCTCTTTTTCGGCCGGCTGTGCTGTCAGCACATGGTATTGAATTTTAAGGTGGCAGGCGCTCTCTCTCTCTCTGAAGGGGGAGCACTCTCTCTCTAGAGCTCCCCAAAACATCTCAGTAGTTCCCCACCCCTCCGTTCTCAGGGGCCTTCAGTCTCCTTCTCTGTCCAAAGCTCCAACCTACTTCAATCAAAGCCACATGGCCTCCTCTCCCCCACCCAGCCTCTGGCTGAGCACGGCAGATCCGACCTCTTCAATTGACCAAAGCAAAAAAACGTTCTCCTGAAAGTTCTCTGCTTTTTAACCCCCTGTGTTCTCAAAAGCATATCCATGAATTCAATAACCACACCAAGTACTAATATTCAAATCTGGTCACTGATTGGTTCAGCTACAACTTCCCAAAAAACCTCACTTCCTTATCAACCCAAGACACAGCACCTTGCAGCTCCAAGCAGGGGGTAAATTCTGAGCTGTAATTCTCTCCTTCATTATGGGAAAATCATCATTGTTATAGATGGATAACGAGAAGATTTGCTCTCGTAATTAAGAGATTAATATTGTGTGAATATTAAGAGAAGCTTTATTGATGTATAGTTATGTTATTGTAGTTTAGATAACCTCTGTTCTCCCCATAGTTCCATTCTCCGCTCTCCCCCGCCTTGCAATGTTACCATCGGACAGCCTCGGTTGTCTTAGACAAGTAGAAAGAAGGCGTATACATGTGCAGTTTGGAGTGGAAAAGCTTGAGGCAGCTGGGAATGGAAAAGTTTCTTGCTAAGGGGATGTGGCATGATAACACCTGACCTCCAACCAAGTTACAAGAAAGCAGTCTCTACCAATAAACAACAAAGAAGAGTTGACTGACAGACTTTGGGAGGGGCCAGGGTTGGCTGATGCAACCCCCAGGATGAGCATCCATCTTGAAGACGAACCAGCCACGTGGTAGGCAGCCGCAAAGGCAGTTCCCAGTGCTGAAAATTTTTCTTTTTTAGTCCTTTTGTTGTATTTTTGTTAAGTTTTATTAAACCTTTTAAAATTTTTAAAGTGAGCAGTTGTCTCTCACAATCATCCTCACTGGGCAATGTTTCCATAAACCCTTATTGCTAGCAAATGTCATTATATATGCCCAGATTACAGTGATGGACCTTACACAAAGCACTTTAAAATGCCTGCTGAGGATTAAGTGCCATTCCCCTGCCAGCCCACCCTTCCCCTGCTCCCACACCTCCCTTCACAGTAGCACAGCTGTCAGAACCACAACTGACCTCCAAACCAGCTCAAAGTGTAGGATACAAATATTTTTCATCCTTACCTGACACAGGATATCTTTGATGTATGTTCCACACAGTTTATGCCCCTGGGGATCCATGTAATCTATGATGTCCCAGTATTTTGCTGCAATGCTGTTGTCTCTCTCCTGGTCACAGCAGCCAAAGTTTTCATAGAGCAGAACTCCAAGGGCAAAGGGGGCTGGAAAGGCAGCCCATAATACAGACACTGAGGATGTCCCAGCAGAGTGCCCATCAGGCAAAACAGAGGCAAACACACACACGTGGGCAAGTAATAGAAACACCAGAGCTGCTGCTTCACTTTCCAGCCCATGGCCTTCACTTCCTTCTCAAGCAAAGGTTTCTTGAGGTCAGATGTATAAAAATCCTGGACTTCTTCATAGCATGGTTCATTCATCTTCTCTGTTTTACTAATTACCAGCCCCAGAGCTCAGCATTCCCTGAGGTTGGCTTACATTCCCTCTTGTTTTCTCTCTGAAGTGTACTACTCGGCAGCATAGACACCCTCCAGGTTGCCTTTTACGTGTCACACCTCACAGGGCTTAACCCTCCCCTCTGGACATTTCTCCTGTCCCTAGAAACACAAATCAAATCCCTACATTTTAGGTTAAGTTGGCTGAGAAATCCTTCACCGAGAAATATGAATAATAAAAACAGGAGATGTGATACCTATACACAGAATTTGATAATCTTTACAAAACATAAGTGAACAATTTTCAGTTCCTAACTACCATTTTTCTCAGCTTTTGCAATGCATCAGACTGGGACCTGGTTTCATAAAGACTGAACAGGGATCATAAAATACAATCAAGTTAAGGCAGCAATTAACCATAGGAACAAGTGACTTCAAAGATATTGCTGTTACCCACAAATCCAGGTATACATTCAGGGTTAAAATGAGAAGAAATTCAGAAGGAGTGAAGGAGGGAAATTTCATTTAAGGCACCAGCACAACCTCAAGTTGGCTGTGATATTCTGTGGTAATCCTCTACTTCAGCAAATTAATTTTTGTGAGTTTGATCCCTCTTCACATTAAACTGATATAAAATGCACAAAACCTTTGCACACTTTCCCCTCCAGTGAATAGTGCTTGAGCAAGCCCTTCCCATCAGCTAGGGATGCAGGTGTTTGTACACATTGTACTCAGCCTGTGCTGGAGGATGACTTCCCTAGATTTGCTCTTCCATAAGCAGGACAAGATAATTTTGATCACAGCCACATGGAAAGGGAGTTACTTCTTTCATGCATGATAAGAAAAAAATCCTCACAGAAGCTCTGCCCACAGGAAGGGGAGAAAAATTGATAGGAAAACCAAATCTAGAGCACAGAATTCAAAGCCAAAGATAACCATTCCAATCCACTAAGAGTTATCACATTCAAAGTACAATACACAGGCTTGAAAACACAGTACACACTGAGATTTCTCTCTGGATTTGTGATCTGCTGGTTTGTCTCAGGTCCAAGTACTGTGATGTCAGGAAACAGCAAGTTTCTTGCAGGACATGGAAGAGCAATGCTTGGCACAGTTATACAAAAGCTGTGACTCAGCTCTTGTACTTGCTGACTGCAGCATTATACTTCTAGCACCTGGAGAGGACATTATCCCCCAGAGCAATCCTGCTTCCAGAGGTCACAGGAGAAAGCTGGGAGAACCAAAACGGATTAGCAGTATTTTCAGACATCAAGCTCCTCTTTATCCCCCCACTCTCCTTATCCCCACCCCAATCTCTGATGCTTTGTTTCACAATTCTTCCTCAGTAGAGTCTCAGCTGCTGCAAGACACACACATCTTTCACAGGAAGCTGAGGGAACAAAAGGAAATTACATGGGAGCTCTCACCAAGTACCAGGACTTCCAGCATTCAGCTTTTATACTTGGGTTATTGCTAAAATCTCCTGTGCATACTCACAAAGGAACACAGGCAGATAATGGAAGGGGAAGCCCAAGTAACACCCTGCTGGGCTGCTCTCAGTGGCATCACAGGAGAGTCATCAGCCCATCAAAGTCCATCTGTGCAAGTTCAGGGGGAGCAGAGGGGCACAATAGCAGGCAAGAAGCCAAATTAAAGACTTCAGTGAAGGGACACCATGTGTCTGGAAGGGAAGAGACATCTGGTTGCCTGCCAGGGTTGTCCCAAGACATCTTTAGGCCCATGTCCAGGCATGAACTCTAATGAGATGGACACTGGGAGCGAGTCTGGATCATCTCTCTCACCTAAGGAGGAGTTCCTTCCCAGGGCTAAGGGACACCTTATGGGATGCTGGGGAAGAACATTTTGAAACTTCACAATCTAAATTAAAATAGTCCAAACTGAAATAAACAAGGCAGGAGACTTTTATCTCTTTTTAATGCCTTTATTAAAAGTGATCCGCTTGAGATTGAGAAGCCTGATGGGTCTGTAGTCTCTGCCGTCTCTCCCCGGGTGACCCAGAGGAGGTGGGTACAGCTTGTCCATTAGGGGCAGAGCTGGAGGTCCAGTCCTCGCGGGAGCCCCTTGGGTGTAGTAACCCACATGTTTTACTCGAGGCTCCCGCCCGCTCTGGGACCCGGTTCGAGAGGACTGTCCACTCAGGGTGAGGGGTAACAAAGGTTTTTCAGCATCTCTGCAGGCCTAGCACTCTGCTCCTCACGTCTAGATATCACTCTAATTTCTCAACTCTATACTGGCACGTTGTTTTGGGGTCGTTTTCAGTGTGTTTGGAATAGTAGCTTCTCATGGCATGCTGGTCCCGAAGTTAGTTTGCATGCACCCCCTCCCACGTCTCAGTCCCTTCTCTTCCCCGCTTGGGGAGGTCCCCGCCCTTCTCGGGAGAAGAGCCATTAACTCAGCCCCAGCCAGGGCTTTTACTGATACAAAAACAACTATGAACGACAACGAGTGGTAATTATCATAACAAAAACCTGGCTAGTCTTTGTGATCCTTTTTTCACACAAAAAAAAAAAAAAAAAAAAAAAATTGGCAGATTTTTGTTTATAACAGTGGTGACCTTTGAAGTAATCGGAACTCAGCCATAGCCTGGCACAGTGCAAAGGAGACAGAGAGCAAAAAGCTGGTACAGTCTTCAGAGCCAGATTATCAGGCATAATAACCAGAATTATTAGGCATAAAAGCCTGGAGTAATACAGTCTGAGAGCTGGGGACGGCATAAAAGCTGGAACGCTGTAAAAACCAGACTTTGAATGAAAAACCGGGACTCACTGGTCAGATAGTGGTAAAAAAACCCCTCAGCAGTTAGCAGAAAGTGCTTCGAGGGTTTAAAAACCTTTTTTGTGGACTAAAATCACAATTGAGACCATGGATATGAGGACCAGAAAACTCCATGATGAAGGCACTGATTTTCTTCTTTCAAAAAAGAGGGATTATTTCCATGGGGAGTGGGGGAACCTCGGCAGATGCCGGCATTATCCAGGGAGCCGGCAGGATGGATTGGGAAATCCAGCCACGTAGAGAGATGGCAGCCACCACAGCCCCGGCTTCTCCGGTATGCCGTGAGCCCTCCCCAGACTGCAGTAATCGTTATGCAGTCACCTCGGGCTACCACGCCGCCCTGCTCTGGGAAAACAGACCACATGGTGGGTATTTCTGCCCCCGCCCAGGGCTGCCGTGCTATGCGGCCGCTCCAGGCCCTGCCGGGAGCGGGAGCAGCCCCGCGGCCATCACTCCGCGCCAGGCGGTCACCGGGGCCAGCCAGGCAGCGCCCTGACACAGGGCCCCGCCCCTGACACAGCTGTGGAACACAGCCAGGTGGTGGAGCCTGGCCGCGCCTCCTGAGGGAATGGATCTGCCCCTGCTCCAGCCTCCGTGGAACACAGCCACACCTCGGGAGGGAGCAGCGCCCCCACCGAGCCTGCCTCCGAAGAAGACTGCAGAACTCAGAAGCAAAGCGTGGGAGAAGCCTTTACAAAGGTGCCGCTCGGAAAAAGGCAGTGCAGGGAGACAGGCGGGAGTGGAGTCGAACACACGGGTTGCAGGTCTCACAGCAGCTGAGGTCAAGACACACTGTCACCCAGACAAGCGAGAAGCCAGCAGCTGCTAGCAAATGGATGGTGAAGAGGCAGTCACCAAGTTTCCTTCCTTACAAGCATTACAACCACATTACCTCCTGATAAATCGAGGTTTTCATGAAACAAAAACTCTAATAAAGACACTGAAAGGTTGTCATACAAAAGTTATTATATGGTACAACTGTTTGTAAAATATACATTAGAACTCATGGTACAATATTAATTATGGGTGTTTGCATTTGTTAGAACCAAAATTAACAAGCCCATGATCAGTAAGGTGTTATATTTCTGCCTCTATTAAGCTGTATATCTGGGAAGCATTACTGTGTGTATTATTATTTTTTAATACTCCTACTAATTATTGTCACAGTATTTCAAGAAGGATGGCTGAGACCCAGGGACTGTCCACTGAGATCCCCATAGAAAAATTAATTTATCCTAGGCAAATTTCAGTTGCAAAGTTCTAACTGAAATTTAGCCACTTGCCATCATTCTAAAAAATTCAAAGTTAATGATTAAATCACTAATAAAAATTCCAACAAGGCAAGAAGAGAGTATTGCTTACACTGTAATTCATGTTAAATTTGTTTTGTTTTGTTTTGCACTGGATATTAATACAAATTTGTTTTTATGCAGGGAATCTCTCCCAACCAAGTCATTGGCCTGATCAATCTATGAAAAAGTAGATCAAGATTCTGTGCAAAAAGGCTAACTCTTTTTCTTTTGAGAGAGGCATAGAGGTTTTGTCCAGAATAGCCCTCCAGAAGTTTGCTCATAATGAGAAATTGACCTTTCAGCAACCCCCCTACCTTATATATGCTGTTAAGAAATGCATGCTTTATTTCTATTTCTACTTATTATACAAAGAAAAAAGTGGAAAAAAGGTTGGGGGAAAGGTACACCTCCCCTTTTTGAGTTTTGGGTCATGTTATGTGCTTATGTTTTATAAGTCATGTAACAGTACAATATTCCTAAGAAATCCAAGGTAAAGGACACTGGACAGCATTCTGAAGTCTCTTCAACAGAACCATGAATTACAAATGACTACCTACCACATAGATAGTCAATACAAGGACTTGGATTGTTTACTAAGTATTTTCCTGTTTACAACTGTTTTTCTGTTTACGGATTGTTTTCTGGGTGTTGGCAGGTTTAACAGCTGGCCTTTTCTATAAGGGTTAAATGGGTTAAAGGTTGAATGGGTTTTTGTTTTTATAAGTTGTAACACATAAGCATTGTGCCTGTGGCCTGAGTTCTCCCCCAACACATTCTGAACAGAAATGCTGCAGCTTCCATGCAAATTTGGCCATGCTGTTGCTGTTTTGTTTGTAAAAGGCCTTTACAGATGAGTAACGGAAAACAAATTACAAAATTTATTAAACAAAGAAGGGT